CTCCGCTCCCGGTCTATGACTCTCTCTCTCTCTCTCTCTCTCACACACACACACACACACACACACACACACACACACACACACACACACACACACACACACACAAAGCAATTCCTGATTAATCAGGTATTGTTGTGTTGTATAGTGCGAGGGACGAAAGTGCAGAAGGCGGTTAAGAGCAGAGTAGGTGATATTTAGGAAAAGTAACCATGATAAACCGTCAAGTTGGTCCTTGCACGTGCATTGTTTTTGAAAAGCAACTTTGAACTTTCGTTTTAGTGATTTTTACCCTATTCCTGGGCATTGTTCTTGTGCATGGGAAAGTCCGGTCCATTTGTCCTTTTGTGTGTCTTCCCTATCTCTTTTTTTTTCTTTTTCTTTTTTTTTGCTTGGGCCGTCTGCAAGTGAAGAACAAGGTAGGAAGGGAGAAGGTCGAACTCTCACAGTATATTTTATTGGGTTTGTTGCTATTGGGTTTTTGAACCCTCGAAAATAGGTTGGTCAGTCGTTCCCGTGGTGCACCTTCCCCACCAGGGTTTGTTGTTTGTTGCTAAGCCTTTTTATTAATTCTTTTTGTTTTTTCGGCGAGTCTGATGAGCGGGTGGCTGTGTGTACCTCTTGTTGTGTATTTCCCTACCGGTAGCTATCAGAATCCTCACGAAGCTCAGCTGCTATTTGGGAGAGGACTCAGGGCAGGGATTGACCGAAGAGAGCAGAAGAAGGTAATAATGCTCCTCCGCATTCTGGCTGTTCCTCGGCATCATGTGTCATAACTTGCAGCAACTGTTTCTTCTTGTGCTCCCGCTTGTGTTGGTGCTTAATGGTTTGTTGATTTGTGTTTTCTTTTTTCCCTTTCCGATTTGAATGTGTGGGTCTCTCAAGTTATGAATGTGTGAAAAAGGAGAGGAGGATATGAATGATGAGATAGTGGAGGGGAAGGAAGGGGAGTGTGTGGAGGCGGCGGAGGGGAAGGATTGAGAGGATGGGCAGTAGGAGGGGGTGGAGGTTGCTTGACGAGGGGTGATGAAAAGGATGGTGATGAGGGGGAGAGGAGGGGGGGGAGAGGGGGGGAGGGAGAGAAGAAGGAACAGGAAGGAGAGGAGGAGGGAGAGGAGGACGGAGAGGAGGATAGGAATGACGAGTGGATTGGAATGAGTACAATGGGCATGGGGTACGGCATCGAAGTGCCAGTACGGGGAAAACCCCAAATTGCTGCCAACTATTGTTTTTGCATCCAAACCGATCGAAGCGGTCCCTGCCAGGCCGGTACGTCAAAAGCAGCAACCTCTTTGTCTACCAGCGGAGAGTTCGGTCGAGGGGCCTCATGCTGGTGGTTTTTTAAGCCTTAACCTTGGAAGAAGGAGATGAAGGAGTCGAAGACAGAGGACAAAGGGGAAAGAGGCAAAATGTGGGGAAGAGGTGGAACAGGAATGAGAGGATCTAGAGTAGGAGGTGGGACGGAGATGTGGAGGTGGAGGGCAATGATGGCCGCAAACACAATGATGAGGGTGTGGGGTAGGACGATCAATGGGGGGGGACCTAGGAAGAAGAATATGAGGAAGTAAAGTCCGTTTGGGACATCCTCATCAAGCAACCTCCACCCCCCTCATTGCATGCATTACAAGCCAATCGTGTCTATGTCCTTGATGTGATAACCGCTCATTACCCGGCCTCACCATTACACATGTCCATGCATAGTAAATCACAGCGTTAGTTTCTCCTTTTACCAACAAAGTCCCTACTATCTATACTTTGTTTGTTGTCGAGCACTGATCAACAATTCGCATAGGCACTGATCGGCAATTTGCGTAGGGACTGATCGGCAATTTGCATAGAGACTGATCGGCAATTTGCATAGGGACTGATCGGCAATTTGCGTAGGCAGTGATCGGCAATTTGCATAAGCCAGATATGGTGCGAGAGGGGGCGATATGGAGTGCGGTACTGAGGGAGTAATGTTGCAGTATCACACCTCCTTTCCTTTTATCAGCTTGCTTACTGAGGGTTGCAATTTTGTTGAGTATGTACTATGTATGTGGCTTGAAAAAAAAGGAAAACGAAAACTTGGGCCTTCTGGTTTAAGTTATTATACTAATTGTTATGTCCGTGATTTTGTCTTCTGATGCAGCTGGCAGCAAAGAATGAGAAAGATCTTCGGGCTGCTAGAAGAGTACGTAAATTTTGTCGTCTCCTTTTCCTTTTTCGTCTGTTTTCTAACTTTTCTTCTTCTTCTTTTTTTCTTTTTTAATACCAGAAGACACTGCGCCTTCTATTCTGGAAGGGGGGGGGGGTCAGTCCCGTTGCTCATTACCGGAAAGTATGTTCCCACTGGAAAAAGGAGCAAGGAGGGGAAGAAGAGTAAGAAGTAGATCAGCCTTGCCCTTGTGGCACTAGCCGCGCCTAAGCAAAAGGGGGGGGGGGGATGCTATGGTACGTCCCACCCCCCCAAACCATGGGCTTTCTTGAAGGGGTCTCTTGTTGGCCGAGAAGCTTACTGGCAGCATCCAGTCACACCACAAAAAGATCCCAGGGGGGGTCAGGTGCGGGGGGGGGGCATTCATAGCAGTCTGGTACCAGTAGCATTTTTTTTTTTTTTTTTTTTGCAGGAAATGCTTGATGGACGCCTGCATCCCTCTTCCACGTGTCATTTAAGCTTTTCACCAATCTTGTTGTTTTGGACCCCTCTCGAATCCATGTAACATATTAGAAAACCCAGGAACATGTCGCGGTCGTCTAACGGCCGTGCTCCGCTAGTCGCCGATTGCGAAAAAAGTGGTATGTATCTTGCCAACAAAATTGGCCAGATAGGTTCGCTGTCTTCCCTTCTTTTCCTTTTTCTTTTAAAGGGCAACGGTCTTGAGATATCATTATCGAGCTGAACAGGCCTCGGTAGTTCATAAATGTTATCTGCTGAGTTCAGGGGTGTACCAACTGAGCAAGGCCAGTTGGTAGATTCACCATTGTAGCAATTGGCGAGTGGTGGGACGGGCTCCCAACTGTCAAATTATTCGCATTAAAATTAAAAATGATTAAATAAGAAAAAAAGACTGAGGAACATGTCTCTCATGAGTCTCATCTGAATTGTCAAAAGCACAAATTAGAAGGCTCCAGGTTCGATGAACAGTTAATTATCAGACGACAATCGCAGCATGCTCAGACATTTAATGTCATTTATTAATCCTCCTCCTGCAAATGCCAAATGAGCAGGGACCACTGTCACAAACATTGGCAGCCATGCCATCCCGCAAGTGCCACTGCAGTACCCATATATAGAGTGTAGAGGTCCACTCTGGGGCCACTGCAGTTGCCGTCATAGTGTCCAGGCCCACTCTGGGGCCACTGCACTGTTCCAGGCCCACTCTGGGACCACTGCAATCTCCAGGCCCAATCTGGGGCCACTGCAGTGTCCAGGCCCACTCTGGGGCCACTGCAGTGTCCAGGCCTCTGACAGGGTCACTGGAGTGCCCATCATAGTGTAGATACCCACTCTGTGGCCACTACACCATGAAAGGATAAGCCTATTCAAAGGGTACTGATAGAAATTTGGACATTGTTTTGGTCCTTCTGGGCGTGAAAGGAAATTCGGGGATTGGCGCACCATGCACATGAGACGTGGACATCTGGTAGCACATCTGGATGGCTTCTTGTTCTGGCGCCACCATGTAAAAAACGGCGCGTAAAAAGTCAAAGAAGAGAGAGAGAGAGAGAGAGAGAGAGAGAGAGAGAGAGAGAGAGANAGAGAGAGAGAGAGAGAGAGAGAGAGAGAGAGAGAGAGAGAGAGAGAGAGAGAGAGAGAGAGAGAGAGAGAGCATACCTATCACTTTTCCACACTTGTGCTACAAATGGAGATGGGAGTCACTTGAGGTAAATTGGATAGTTCTATATTGAATTGCGGCGGATGAAAATGGTTTAAACTTTAAAATCATTTTCAGAATTCGCAATGAAATATTTTGTTATTAAAAAAAAATAAAAAAAATCATAAATCAAATTTCTGCATATGCAATTGAACTGGTATAACAATTAATGGTTTTCTGTTTCCTTCTTGCTAACGTCGTAGTTGGTAGCTTGGCGACTTTGTGAACTTGAGTACATTCCTGGCAACTCGCTGACACTGTTTCTATGAGCAGGCGGTCACTGGCGAGGAGGAAACGAAGGAGGAGATGGAGGCGCAGAAGCAGAAGGAGCAAGCGGCAAACACTTACGATCCATTTGACATGCGCGTTGATCGGCATTGGTCTGAAAAGAAGGTGTGCATCCCCTCCTTTTTGGATGGCTTTGCCAAACCTGTCTCTTTTGCCCTTCCTCTCTCCTCCCCTTGAGGCGGAATCTGAAAACGCACTTGAGAGGTAATGCAGCTTCGCTTGAATTGCTTTTGTGAAACGCCAAAACCTTTCTGATTTTCCCTCCTCTCCTGTCTCGTTTGAGAGTCTTGAGACTGCATTTGAAAAAAACTATTTGAAAATACAAACTATGTTTTACCGACCGACTTTTGCTTTCGTTGTCTTGCCGCGAAGTTACCGGAGATTCCATGAGATGACAGGGGGGGGGGGAGAAGGGAACCCGGCCATGGCTGGAACACAGCTATGGCTGTTCTTGCAAAAGATGCATCGCCTTGTTGATGACTTTCGGACGTCAAAGTGGCACGACTTTTTGCTTGCTCTCCTTCCCTCCTTTTCCCCTCCTCTTTTCTTCTCTTTCTCCTTTTTCTCCCCCTCTTTTTCTTCTGCTCCAATTTTCCTTTTCCATTTCTCCTTCTCCAGTCATCCGTCATCTCTCCTTCTTCTCCTTCTCCTTCTCCTTCTCCTTCTCCTTCTCCTTGGCCTTCTCCTTGGCCTTCTCCTTGGCGTTTCCTTCTTCTCCTTCTCTTCTCCTGAAAGGATTTCACCTTCCTAACCTTTCGTGATTTGATCCCGGGAGTTGTTGCTGTTGTTGTTTTCCTGTTGTGTTGTATTGTATGCCAGACTTTGCTGGTGAAGTTTGAACCCGGGACCTGATGTTGATTTACCCGTGTCGTTGACTTTTGATGTATCGTACTTGTATTGCATTGACTGTACCTGTGGAGTCTTGAACCTGAGACCTGTTCGTGTGCATATGTAAAAAGCCAATGCTTAGTGCGACTTGCGTGGTAATTGCGAGTCCAGCAATCTATCTTGAGGTGGTTCAGGCCGGCCTCCAAGGGCAAATGGGGCAAAGGGCCGGGGAGATGAAACTCCCCGAATTCGTGTTTGCAGATTCATTATTCTCTGCGTGGCTCCGGCTCATGAAATGAAGCGGTGCTCTGTGTGGTGAAGAAGACAGCCATAGCTGGAGTAGTAGGGCAATCGCACTGCCATCTTGTAGCCTTTGTTTTGTGTTTCTTTTGGAGTGGGATCGTGCTGTTTGTACTGGGCGTTTGTCGGAGAGAGCTTTTGCTTGGTGGTGAGTGAAGCCATCAAGCGAGTGGGAGGATCACTTCGGTGTTCAGGGAGAGATCGTGTGTAGAAGAGAGAGAAGGAGACATACTGGCGATAGTAGAGATTGTAGCATACGAAGACTGCGTTGAACTCTGTCTGACCTGCATCTCTCTTTTTGTAGCAGCCTGTGACAGGGTTTGCGTTGTGGGAAGTTTCACTGTAGTTTCAAGGTGAACTCGATGCTGGTGTAATTGAGCCAGGCCTGTTATCTCGAATTTGCAAGTCTGTGAGCATATTTGTGGGGCTGACCTACCATAGCTGCTTTGCACCATCTGTAACTTCGTGCTGTGTGCGGTGTGGCGGTATCTGACGACTGTTAACTCAAAATTTCGTTGAGCGGTGTGGCGGTTCTTGAAGAGGAAGGACAACTTGATTTTGATGTGTTTGGTGGGACCACCATCAACACGCACCACTAGCACAAGAGTTTTTTTTTTTTTGAAAGGTGTGACCACCATATCTGCATGCTCACATGGAATGGATGATGCATGAGTGAGGGTCTCCTTGCACTCCTTTCATTCTCCTCCTCCTCCTTCTCCTTCTCCTTCTCCTTCTCCTTCTCCTTCTCCTCCTTTTCTTCTTCTCCTCCTCCTCCTCCTCCTCCTCTCTATAGGATATATTTAGACTCTTTTAAGAGTTTGACAAACATTGAATCCTTTGCCCTCTTTCAGCGTGGGACATGGCTGGTTGGTTGTATTAAGACTCTATAGGATGTATTAAGACTCTTTTCTGTCCATATACTCCTACTTTCAAAGACCTGTGGTTGGTTGCCTTTGAGTTGCATAGCACGCGCCAAGCACTCCAAGTGGTGTACCCTGCCTGTATATAATAAATGAGTCTTAAATTTTCGTAATACATCCTATATGGTGGAAGAAGGTGTATATGGACAGATCCACAGCTTATATGCACGGGCAGCTGGCCAATGTACATAAGGGAAAGTTGGCTATTTTTCTCTGGCTATATGCACTGGGTCTATACTATATACTATATACACTGGCTACATGCCTTGGCTGTAATAATATATGCACTGGCTATATACACTGCCGATATACCAGGTGCTATAGATACATTGGCCAGTGTCACTCGTCAAGGTTTCGCTCAACTAATCAGTTGGTGTCGTATACCTATAAATGGTTGCCTCCTTTCCTATAAGGAGTTTGCACGCTTGCTCTGGAAAAACGGCAGGGAATAAATACCATTATACCACAGCGAATCCGCATGTCCGCATATCCACATATCCACATATCCACATATCCACATATCGATTATGATTCGATATATATTGTATTATGTTCACATATATCCGCGTATACCCGCAGATATCCACATATTGACAGGGTTGCATGCCTGCCGACTGCCGACCCCAACCCCGACCGCCGACTGTATTGGCTGACTGGTCTGCCGACCAGTCAGAAAACAACCATCCACTGATTTTTTTTCAAATCTGAGTTGGGGGCTGTACTGCGCTTGCTGAATATAGCCCAAATCCGCTGATAAACTTTTGGGGATGGGGGGGGGGGTATGGGGGGTATAGGGGGGGTTGGGGGGGTAATGAGGGCGTTGGGGGCGGTTTGGGGATGTTGGCGGGCTGTATGGGGGTATTGGGGGCCGCTATGGGGGTGTTGGTGTTATTATTAGGGGTTCTGTACCCCCCCMCCCCCCMCCCCCCCCSAAAAAAAAAAAAAAAAAAAAAATTGCGCGGTGCCGACGATCCCCGACCGGTAGGTGCCGACCAGTCAAGGGCCGCTGACGGTCTGGGTGTGCAACACTGCATATCCACATATATCGACATATATCCACTTATCTGATGAAGTTATATCCACATATAGGCACGTATAGCCACACATCCACATGGCCAGTGCAACTGAAGCGCGATGTAGGAAGGAAAGCTTTTGGCAACGTCGTGCAGGCTTATATGCTACAGGCCATTTTGAGTATCATAAGATTAATGCCAACAGTACATGAATCCTGCAAGAAATGTTCCCCTTCCCCTCTTCCTCCTCTCCTCTCCTCTCCTCTCCTCCCCTCTCCTCTCCTCTCCTCCTCCTCCTCCTTCTCTTCTCCCTCCGCCTTCCTCTTATTTGTTGTTGCCTTCGTTATTGTCGTCGTCTTCTGCTTCGTGCGCTTTTTCGCATCCGTACCTGCCCACTTTTTGTGTGTTCTGTAAGCAACATGCATTGGACACACCTTGGTTTCTTTTCAAGTAGCACGTTGTCACGTTCGGGGAATCTGGGACTGTTTCTGATCATGCCGATGATAACCCCCTTGTACGCCAACCCCTTTGCTCGGCCAATTGCCCAGAAACCCCTTGTACCCAACACCGCCACTAGTTTGTACGCCAACCCTCTGTATGCCAATCCCTCGTACGCCGATTGCTCAGCCAATTGCTCAGAAACCCCTTGTACCCAACACCACCACTAGTTTGTACGCCACCCCCCTGTACGCCAACCCCTTGTAGGCCAACCCCTCGTACGCCAACCCCTTGTATGCCAACGCCAGTTGCTCAGCCATCTTGTTGACTGTTTTGTTTTGTTTGCAGTTGGAGGAGATGTCGGAACGCGATTGGCGTATCTTCCGTGAAGACTATAACATATCATACAAGGTATTGCACTCAATAACAAGTTGATAACCGACACCCGACACCACTAGTTGGTATTCTTCATCCGTTATTGGATATTTAATAATAATGCGTGTTGTATTTGCTTGGATAATAATGTATGACTTCTGTATGCATGATATTGGCAACATGCAATGTATAACAAGTTAACAACTCGTCCAAATGTGCAAAATGAGAATGAATCTTTCGCTAGAAAACGGAAAGATACATCACCACATTTTTTGTCTTCTGTGCATGTGGAGAGCAGTGGAGTGAGGCCCATTGTGATCCTGGTAGAGAAGTTGTCTTCCCGTTTACAACATACAACAGGGGGCTTGCTGGTGACGATGCTGTGTGGGTGTGGGTGGGGCAGAATGGGTGAGGGTTCTGTCACACACACACACACACACACCGAGAGAGAGAGAGAGAGAGAGAGAGAGAGAGAGAGAGAGAGAGAGAGAGAGAGAGAGAGAGAGAGAGATTGGGTCCATGCACGGAGAGACGGGTGGGGATGAGGTGGCAAAGAGGGAGTGAATGGCGGATGGTGGTAATTTGGGGTGGGGCAGTTGGAGATCGAGAGAAAGAGATGGGGAGAGAGGGGATTTGGGGGCGTCGGGGAGATGGGGAGAGAGGGGATTTGGGGGCGTCGGGGAGATGGGGAGAGAGGGGATTTGGGAGCATCAGGGAGATGGGGAGAGAGGGGATTTGGGGGCATCAAAGAGGTAGGGATATCGGAGGGGACCATTACCACTGCGCTACCACCATAACCAACATGCCCACCACTGTTATCATGATCTTGATAGGAATCATCATTGTTGCTGCCAACTTGCCATGGTCGTTATTGCTGTCGTCATCATTATGACATTCTTGGTGTCACACTCGGGACCATACTTCGCAGACATCGACGGGAGAGAATGGAGCGGGATCGAAGAGAAAGGAGCCAGAGAGTTTTTTTTGGGAGGGGGGTTGGGGGGAAACGTTCAATTTCTGAACGGGAAATGTGCGTTCTATGAACACCATGTTTCATAGGGTGGAAGAGAGTTTTAGAGGGGGAGGGCAGTGGGGAGCGTGTGGGGGAGAAAGGGATTTATTTGGGCTGCGACTTTGGTGGTGTAAGGATACTAAGGCCCTCGCTCCAACTGCACAACATTCTAAGTGTATCCGGACTGTTTCACGGAACAGGTACGCTCTGACCCAGCAAACATGTTGAATGTATAAAGACCTCCAGTCTCTCCAGATACGTTTGGGATTTTCTGTTGTGGAGTGAGGCCCCAAGCTGATGACTGGTTCTCCTTCATATCTGTGTGGTGATGCCGGTGCACTTACATCACAGGGATCGCGAATACCACGCCCCATGCGGAATTGGGAGGAGTCTGGGCTTCCCAAGGAATTACTGAAAGCTGTGTCGAAAGCCGGTTACAAGAAGCCGTCACCAATCCAGATGGCGGCTATTCCACTGGGAATTCAGCAGCGGGATGTGATCGGAATCGCAGAAACAGGTGAAGTTGTGCTTCACTCATTTGCCGTCATCTTCTCAGCATTCTTCAATTCTCTCTTGCGGAGCTTGACCACCGCCATTAGAGTTATTCCTGTGCATGCTTGTATTGCAAAGATCCTGACACTATTTCACTCACAAAAAAGCAACATGCACTTGAGAGCGATCAGGTAAAGCTCACACGAGCTTGAGATATGGCCATGAACAGTGCAAATTCGAAGTTACGCTCAGATTAAAAAAATAATAATATACAATTGGAAAAGTTCGGAATTCGGTCGTACCAACTGCTGAAACAGCCCCCGACTCAGATCCCGACTTTCCCCTGTCCGATCTGCTGCTTTTCTCGCTGTTTCTCTCTCTCTCTCTCTCTCTCTCTCTCTCTCTCTCTCTCTCTCTCTCTCT